TGAACTCATGTTCGTGTGGATTTAAAGACATTTACACTAGTGGAAAAAATGGTAGCTTTCTTGACCCCCATGCAGTACCTCCGGGACCCCCTAGGGGTTGCGGACCCCCTGTTTAAGACCTCCGCCATAGAGACCCTGACCTGATAAAACACAGACTAATACAGGGATCTGGAACTCTGCCAGTCAGAAAGTCTTTCTTAGACGTTTCCCCCATTTTTACTCATCTCCTCAAAAGGTTTTTAGCTTTTTTAGAGTTTAACTGACCGTTGCCTGCGGGCCCCCAGCGTGCGGCCCAGCCCCTGCAGCAGCTGGGCCAGGGGCCGGCCCACGTCGTTCCTCTGGATGCTCCTCACCACGCCCTGCAGCAGCTCCTCGCTGAGCGGCTGCTCCTCCTCCGGGACCGGCCGGGACAGAGGGTACCCCACACCTGCCGGGACACGGGGGCACAGGTCAGTACGGGCCCAGTCCACTACTCACACCATCAACGTTACCGACAAGGTCCGGACCACTTTCCACCCAGTCTACAGCAGCTTCAGCTCAGCTCTGCACCTCCATGTGCTACTGTGTAGTTTAACACATTTTCAGAGGTCTTTTGGACATTAATGAGTTAATGACTCTAATTATATATGTATATTTGTATAGTATATGGACATAGAATTTTAATCGTGTTTGACTTGATTTTATTTTTTAGATATTCCCCTTAAATCTTCGCCAGTACCACTTGATTTCAGTTAATGAATTGTTGGAAACTAAAGGCTTTACATTTAAAGCAAGATGGATATGAAGTGGTTAGATGAAAGATCAACCAATAAAACAATAACACTGACACACTGGTTAAAGTGTACCCGGCCCTTTAAGCACGACAGCCAAAATCATTTTAAGATGCGACACATAGGGGTTTAAAGCCCTTTGAACAAGTGCACGAGCACAGAGGACATTCACCAGAGGAGCAAACCCACATTCAAATACAGAGCGCTGTATTTGAGACAAATTGGCCCTTTTGTCATTTGGCACAGACGCTTTCATTCCACCACTGAAACCATGAACGGTGGAAGCCGACATTCCACAGACAACAGCGCAGAGCACCAAGCAGAACAACACAGAGCGTGGAGGGAGGCGGCAGGCCTGACAGGACCACAGCAGCACTCATCTGAGGGGTCTGCGCAGAGACGAACACTCACGCTCTAAAAACAGAGTACAATTAAGCCCTGGAAGACAAAGAGCAGACAGAGCCCGTTAGCGCCAGGGTGGAGGCCCCCCCGGGGGGAGCTGGCAGCCTTCACGCCTTCTCCTCCATTTAACAATCAATCACTGGCCGCTCGCTCGCTGGGAATCCAGCTGTTCCACAGTCAAATTCAACATCCAGCTGACAGATCGCTCCATTTAAACCCATCTCTCTGTTTTGGCTGTCTTCTGTCTTCTGAATTGAGACGCCTTCGTTGGCTTTTTTTTAGCACATGAGAGTGCTTTTGGCTGACACAGAAGAGAGGGATTTCTTCCTTTCCATCTTGGATCTTCTGCCCGTGTCAAATAACCTGAGATGGATGATGCTCTGAGGACCATTCCAGCTCAATTCCAGAGACTCTGGAGGAAACAGCAGCAGCAAAGGCCTGAGGAGGATTAAAAAGCCGTCTGAGGAGCGGACTCACTGTATGTGTTCCAGAGGATGTAGAGAGGCTGGACGGGGTCCTGGTGCAGCTTCAGGTTGTCCCACAGGATCTGGATCAGCACGTGTTTACTGTCCTCTGACATCCAGTGACGGGGGACCTGTGAAAGAGCACACAGAGACTCTGAGCCGGGCGCTCCCCCCCCCCCGTAGAGGGGAACCGGGTCGGGTCGGGGGCTGACCTGGGAGTCTCTGTTGCAGTGCTCAGAGGTGAGGATGAGACCGGGCAGGTTGCTGGGCAGGTCCAGCCGTCTGAAGTACCACACCAGGTTCCAGTAGATGATGGGGTGGTGGTCCACCATGTCGGCCTCCGTGATCACCGGGTCGCCCTCGTTCTCCAGCAGACTCTCCAGCTCCTTCCACAGCACCAGAGGGCTCAGGTAGGGCACGGTGACCGGCTCGGGGTTGTGGAGCCGCCACTCCATACTCAGAGGGTCCTTGGTGGGACAAAAATGGAAAGGAAAAGTTGAGTTTTAACCAGGAGTTTACTCCCAAACTCTCATTTTAATCATGAGGGGCTGTGTTTCTTTGACATATATGCATGTGTATATAAGATAAGATTAGATAAGATAAGATAAGAGCTTTATTGATCTCACAAGCTGTTTGGGGTTAGGGTTCCTCATCAGAGTCCCTTTGCCCTATGATGGACTGACAGCTGGGAAAGGCTCCAGCCCCCCGTGACACTATTAGGAATGTGCAGTGTGTGAATAAATGAAAGGGTTTTTACAGAGTCTGGAGCTTTTAGCCGTTAGCAGTGACACGAGGTTTCTCTCCTCGTTCTGTTTGCTGATCGATCTGTCTGCAGGAACTGATGCCAGACCTCATCCTGTCTGGAGCAAAGCTGAGAGGCCTGCTATGGCTGCTAATGCAAGTTGATGTTATGTTGATGCTACCTCCACATTTAGGGGCTCTGCCCCCAGATTAACCTGACAAACATTGCGCTGATTAAATGCTGAGCATAAAACAACCAGCGGACATAGCAGAATACACAATCATCTGGAAACTGAAGCTCACTGGGACTGAAAAGACCTCTGAAAAAAATGCAGAAATATCAAGCATACACACGAATACATTTCCTGTATCACCGGTTGCTTGACATTAAAGTAATTAAATAATTTCCCTCTGGGATTATTAAAGTATTTCAGATTCTGATACAGCAATGTGATCAACTGCCAAGAAAAAAATATTACTGAGGACAGCTTTACGAAAAGAAAATACATCCAGTAACTGCTTAAATGGCAAAAATATTAATGGAGTTAATGCATAACAAAGGTCTGACCCTTATCCTTCAGAGAGAGGGAAAACAGAAACACTTATTTTATGTGCTCAGATTTAGTTTTACTTTACAGAAAAACATTTTATGCTCACAAAGCAACAGCTTGTACTCTCATTAACCTCTTAAAACACCTCAAACCTTTGTGAAAAACACCTTAAAAAAAGGCATTAACTGAAGCTACAATCCGACAGAGATCTGGAAGTTTGGTTGGTTTGTGTCTGTATGGATGTCAGGCTTGTTGTGGCCTAATGTGTCCTGAAGAATCTCAGCTCTTCAAAGGTGTGTAATGTGACAGATTGAAGAGCTGCAGAAAGCCGGTAGCATGAAGGGGTTAAACGCGTCTGATGCTGAGGCCGTTTGTGTCCAGACGAACCGTGTTTTCATTCAGACGGGTGGGCAGGCTCCCTGACGTGGGCATGCGGCGGTTGAAGCCGGACGCCTCCTCCAGAGGACAGAAGGCGCTCACGCTCCGGGTCATGGGCGTCCCGGACAGCCCGCCCTGATGCCGCTCCGCAGGGATGCTGATACCTTGAGCCCTGACGGACCGAGTCCTGCGAAGACACGACGGGGACTCGCTGTTAAGATCATATTTAAATACATCATTTAAACATGCACAGCGTCCATAGCTTTTATTTCAATCAACAAAAATATCAACATGAATTTAAACCTGAACTCTGAGTCATTAAACTGTTTTAGTTCTGTGGAAATTGATATGAAACCCAAACCCAAACACAGGCTTGGAGTCGCTGTGTGACTCACACATTTCACAGCAGCCTCTGTGTGACACAAAGGGAGCTTTGTTAGGACCAGGTGCTGCAGATCACCTCTTTCTGGCCTTTTACAATGCAGATGGGGAATGTGTGGATCTCCTACTTCAAAAGCATTGTGCTGCCACACAAACGAATGAGCTGCTCGCTGCTGCTCAGTTTGAGCACACGCGCCCGCTCCAACATTCAAAGCCCAGCAGGGAAATTTGAATTTAAATTCAGATGTGGACGATGCTTCTAGCTGTCTCATATGTGAACATACAAAAGATGAATCTGAACAAAAGGATGATCTGTGTTAGGGCTCCTGCTGGGACTGAGTTGACCTCAGCATTAAAACCACACCTGTGCAGGAGGACGTGACTCTCCAGAGCAGAAGCATAGAGGCACTACTGAATAAGAGCAGCCAAAAAGAAAAACTCCATCTGGGGTAAGGTGTACCAATGTAGTGAAGCGCCTCAAACTTAACCTTTCCTCCAATTTGACATGAAAATGAACTTAAATATTACTTTAAATGTACCTGTAAACAGGTGTAGATCTAAAACTCTCCTGTCATTGTCCATAGTTGCTTATTCCAGTTCAGGGACACACACAGATCAATGAGACACACAACCAGGCATGCAGAGCTGAAGCTGGACACATTAAATCTTAAAGGCGGTAGGACTTCTTCTTGGATCTTGAAGATGTTTCTCCTCTCACCCTAAAGGCTCCTACAGCTCCAAACAACATGGTGCAGGATCAGGGTTTCAGCCTGACCCCCCCCCCAGCCAATGAGAGCTAACCTTTCTCACCTGTAGACTGAATCCTTACATGGAGGAAGTGGAGAGCAAATCACAAAGACCAACCAAATCTATCTGCTGGCTGAGATATGTGGACAAAACATGGTTGTATTAACTCAGTGGCCAGATCGTCCACACAGAATAGAGCTGGGGGAGAACAGAAAGGAGCATCAAAGCCCTTCAAACGTTTGGCCGCTCCAGCAGTCAAATCAGCTACAACACATGGAGCTGACCTTTAAAGATCATGTTAACTCCATCTCTCCATCTTGTTGCTTCACACTACTAAATATAAGAAAGACCCGGCCATACCTGACCTAACATGCTGCCCAGCTCCTGGTCAGAGTGTGGTTTCCTCCTGACTCTGCCAGCCTGGACGGTAAAACCGTTACAGATGATCCAGAACGCGGCGGCGCGTCTGGACTTCAACAACCCAAAAACTCTCATTGAGCTTCACTGGTTACCCGCGGTTACCCCTGGCTGTCCGCCTCAAATTCAGGTCCCTGATGCTAGCCTACAAAGTGCTTAAGGGTCTGGCTTCCGTCTACTTGAACCCTCTTGCAAAGGCTCATGTCACAACTCATCCCTCCGGTCATCTGCGGTTTGTTGTCCAGCAGAGCTGCTCCACGATAAGACAATCAGACTGTTTTCATGCGTTGATCCAAGATGGAGGAAGGAGTTAACAGGCACTACAAGAACAGCAGCATCCCTTTTTTTACTTTAGGAAACTCTCAAGTACCCACCTCTTCAAAGAGCGTCTCTTATCCTGACTCATACCTCTGTACACCCCTACCACTCATTCTGTCCTTCCTTCTCTCTCTCTTGCTGGAATCGCTGATTCTGACTGGGGATTTTCCTCCAGAGAACTTATTGTCATATTGATGATGACTCTAAAATTGTGTCTACTTTGTAAGTCGCTTTGGATAAAAGCGTCTAAATGCATAAACATAAACAGCATAAACCTGGAGCCCCCAACACAGTCAGAGAACAGAAGAAAAACATCAGAAAACATGCTGTGATGCCACATATGACGCCAGTTTCTGAGGAACTCATAGGGATCTTCTCCAAACTCTACAAACCTGAGAACGCCCTCAGGCAGAGGCTGCTCCACCTGAGGACAAAACCCCATAACACACACTGAGCTTTGAAAGAGCAGAGAGGCGTGTAAGCACCACTACTGAACTTTCTGTGGAGAGGAACATTTACGAGAGACCGATAACTGGAATTAAGAGGATTCATTAGAGGCAACATCTGAAAACCTGGAGGTGTGTTTTGTTAGCTGCAGCTCATTTAAACCGATAATGTCCAGTTATCAATCCTTAATGCCTGTGATATGGATCCCTGATACAGGGTTAGATGTGAAGTCTTAGGAAATATTCTCCCTAATGGCGCCACAGCTGCAGTCTTAACTCCTTCTAAATCGTTAGAAGCAGCGTGTAGGCTTTAGAGCACCTTTCAGAGCCCTGCTGCCCGGCGATGGTGGGGGAGGGAGGCGACAGAGCTGTCGTGGGACAGGGCGTAGACAGGGTGGATGTTCCCGTGTCCAGACCCGTGGAGGTGGAGTACGACGACGTCATGGCCTCCTCGACCGAAGGGCTGCCCTTCAGAAAAAGCCTGGGGGGGGGGCAGAAAACAGAGTCCAGGGTAACATCCAGAAGAGGTGAGTCATATTTAATTTAGTTCAATGACAAAACATTATCAGGACAATAAAACTTTCTATTTCATTTTTATGTGTTCTGTGATTAAATCATCTGTTTCCGATCAATAAGCATTTTCCAAAAATGAGAAAATGGAGGCTGTGGTCACATTTACTGCCCGCTGGTAAAATAAATGAATCCACCCATCAGATTCTGTATTTACTGGGTACATTTCTCCCTTCTGCATCAGCCGGCGGTCAAAACTTACCTTAATGTAGAATAATAAACAGCAGAGGCTGTTTTTATTTGTTTACATCTTTTTATTTGATCTATTATTTATCTGTTATTACCATACACTGTTTCGTTTAGTGTTTCTTTCTGTTACCTTTGGTCGTCTTCATAATTCTTTTATACAGTATTCAGTTATTCAGTATTGTTCTTTTTCTTTATTTAAAGCCCGATCCTTAAAAAATGGTTTAAAAATGTTTTTGATCTGAAGTTTTTTGTTTGGCTCCTTCACAAAATGTAAAGATGTTTTAAATTAAACTGAATCAGTATTTTCTTCACATTTCTACTACAAACTAAAATCTGAAAAAGAAAATATTCTGTATGTAAGTTTTTTTGATGCAATGGGTCTCAGACATCTATGCGTCTGATATGAGCAACAGAGCATTAGAAGTGAAGTGGTGTGGAATAAAGAAGGAAATCCACCTGCCGGGTCCCCTCATGTCTCTGATCTCCACGTTGAGGAAAGGCAGGAAGGGGTTTCCACAGAAGGGGCAGGTGGTGTTCAGGTTGGAGTCGTCGGCTGTCCAGCCAGCCATGATCTCCTCGTCGTACACCAGGCAGTCGCACGTCTTACAGCGGGAGCAGCTGGATATCAGCAGCTGGAGAGAGACCGACACATCTGTAACACTGATCTGCTCCAGTTCATGTTCGATGCAGTTTTAAGAAGGAAGAAAGATGCTGAACCAAAATATTTTAATGTCTTTTTCATGTACCTATGGTACAAATACTGAGTAGATACAATGAGTGAAGGCCTTTTCAGCTTAAACTATGAAGACATAGGCACATTAGAAATATGATATGCTTGGTTTGAACTTTCAAACTTCATTGACTCCAATATGTGAAACCTTCGGCAGGGATTTGAAACTCCTGGCTGTAGAACAGTCCTTTGCAAAGACCTTTTTGTATAAAATCAGTTGTGTTAAAGCAGAAAACTCTGAATGAACATAATAAGCAAATGCAGTTTGAGATCCCTGGTCAAAGCCAAACTTCTGAACCTCGGCCATCAGGAGAGATGCTGCGCTGTTTCTGTTAAAAAATGTGCAATGAATCATTAAAAAAATATTTGGGATTAGTTTTTGTTTAAAAGGCTCAAAGTAAAAACTCTGTCTGAGGGGAAACTCCTTCAGAGTTGCAACAAAACCAGAAATATCCAAAGTTAAAATAATTTTTTCATCTCAAGTGTTGAATTCCCCAACATCTCTCCATCATTATCAGCCAGTAGCTGATGACTCATCCTGTATCTGATCTACGCAGATGAATAATATCCCATAGAATGACTTTAGAAATAAGCTGGAAACAGCTGTGTACTGTGGCCAGTTGTGGTTTTACCTCCATGGCGTAGTTGTTGAACACGCTGGTGTTGCTGGTGTAGCGTGAAGAGCCGAGGTCAGACTTATCCGGCAGCGGGAAACCAGGAGGAGACAGGACACATCCTGCAGGAGACACGAAATAAGAAACAAGGCCCATTAGTCAGTCGATCTTTAGGAAAATCTGACTATTCAGACACGTAGAATCAGGAGGAATAAAAAAAGACGCTGCCTTGATCTTCACTGAGTGAAGCACAGTGGAATAAAGAAAAGTAGAATAAAGTAAAGCATAGTAAAGCAAGGTAAAGCTACATTTAAAAAATAAAGAAACGTAAATAAAGTCACATTGAATTAAGCAAAACAAAATAAATTTGAATAAAAAATTGGTTGACGAACTAAAAACAAATTCATTGACAGTCCAAACTCTATAAATGTTTGGAATAAGTCATTAAAAAAGTGATTAGACTAAATTAAACATGAGCAACAAATAGCTAATCAAATATGTTGAACTAAAAGATTAGCTTAAAATCAGCAAAGTCAGCCGACGTCCAGAGAGCTCTGGGTAACTCACAGATAAAAAAAGAAAAGATTTAGAAACTAAGTTTACCAGGAAGAAAAGACGAGGGCCTCCCGAGGCTGCAGCCGGTGGTGGGGCTGCCCAGCCTGCTGGGGAGGGGGCTGCGTCTGGGGCTCCGGCGGGGCCCCATGGGGCCGTTCCTCCGGGGAGAGATCACAGGGCACTCCAACTCCCCACAGTCCTCCTCATCCAGCAGGGAGGAGCAGTCTGGATCTCCAACGCCGAAGGAGGACACGCTCAGACGGTCACCGTTGTCCTAAATAGACAAAGAAGGGAGTTTACCCGGGCAAAAAAAGAGCCGAGCGTCATGTGGGAAACCATCTTTTTCTAACAGAGAAATGTTACATCAATGCCAACGAGGAACACAGCAGGGCAATTCCAGAAAATCAGAGTCAGTAAATAGTCAAACTGTGCTGCTGATTGAGTCTGAAGCTCACACTGAGTCATGCTGCCACAGCTGAAAACTGGGCCGAAGTCATGGCTGCCGAGAGGCTGAAAACAAGCCTCAGAGAGCCAGCAGATGGCAGCAAAGCTCCAGGTTTTCAATAGAGGGAAAACAGAGTGTCTATCTAAATGATAAATAATACAGAGGGTTTTTGTTTATTACAAAAACAGAAAAGGGACCATTATTATACAACCATATGCGGTCTTATTTGATCCTATTTTAGACATTTCCTTCACTCAATTGTCTGTTTTACAGTTTGGAGATGAGCAGCTGAGCCGATTCAGTACAGGATAATATCAGTTTATCTTAGCTTGATTGTTCTGGCAAGCTGTAAAAAATAAATGGAGAATTATTTTTTTTTTATAGTATTCACATAAAAATTTGCAGGACAAAGTCAGTTTGTGAAATCTAACCTACTCAAAACGTCTCTGAACTATCTAAAAACAGCTACATCCACCAAAAAGGTGGCGTCTCCTTCCTGGTTTGCTCTGCTTTGGGTTACGTTGGGCACCTCTGAGTCGGCCGTACCTTGGTGGGGGTGGTGTAGGTGGCCAGGCGGGAATACCAGCGGCTGGCCTTCTCGGCCACGCCCTTCCCCGCGGAGAACATGCTGGTTTTGAACACGTCCAGGGTGGGCGTGAGCAGCGTGTCCAGAGCGAAAGAGGAGGAGGAGGGGGAGGGAGAGGCCAGGCCGGTGCGGTCGGGCACCTCCCTGAGGGGGCTGGGCCGAGGGCTGGGGCTGGTGCTGGAGCTCTGGCACGGGGGGGACGACCACAGGCGCTGGCGGGAGATGGGCTGGGAGGGCGAGGTCTGGTGGAAGGTGCGGGAGCGGGGCACGCCGGCCGTCCTGAGGGGGGAGCTGTGGGGCAGGCTGGAGCGCCGCAGGCCAGAGGTGGGGTGGAGCAGGAGGGGGCTGACCGGGTCCTGCAGGTCCAGGCTGGGCGCCCGGCTGCTCAGCGGGCTGTCCATGTGGTTCATGTACAGCTCGATCTCCCTGGCCAGGTTCCTGGGGGCTCTGGGCGTGGTGGCCTCGTCCCCCTCTGGGTCCCGGTGGGCCTGGTGCTGCTCGCTCTGGGTCTGGCTCTGGATCTGGGTCTGGGTCTGGGTCTTGGTCTCCGCGGCCAGCAGGGACAGAGGGTCGTACCCTGTTTTGATGCCGGTGCGTTTGACCGCTCCTTTGGACCCGGCCGCGCCCACCCCTCCGAAGCTGGCGCTGCGTTCGACGGGCTCCTTCTGGGAGGCGGCCTTTGTGGCAGGCCTGTCTGGATCCAGATCCTCCAGGTCGAAAATGGCCTCCGTGAGACTCGGGTCTTCGTCGCTGGAGTCCTGCGCCTCCAGCTCCTCGTCCTCCTCCCTGCGGGGGCGGCCTCTGGTCACCTTAGCCTCCAACCCCTCCGACCGGCTCACCCCCAGTGAGAGCGGGCTCTTGCTCTTGCTATAGTTGGCGGCAGAGAGGATCCGGGCGTCCGCGCCCAGGTGCCCGGCGATCCTGTCGGGGTCGGTTTCGCCCTGGCTCATCCCGAGGCCCAGGACGGTGGTCCCGCTGCCCCCGCTGCCCACCGTGTCGCCGCTGTGCCGGCGGGCTCTGGCGGCCTGCCAGTCCAGAGGCGAGCCGCCGCCCACCACCTCCTCCAGGGCGCTCCGGTGTCTCTTCAGCAGAGCGTTGGAGTGGACCTCGCCGATCTCGTCCAGGGAGCTGGTGAAGAGGAGGCCGGCGACGTGGTCTGACAGGGAGGGGAGGAGAGCCCCGTTAGAAAGGATTTCCACTCACGGACGTTTGGCTGATTGCCTTTGACAAATGTAATGATGAGTGGAAAATATCAGACAGCTGCTACACACAGGAACTACATTCAGATTCCCAACACGTGTTTAAATTCAATCACCTCAGATACAGTCAACACATTGTGTTATTTATATCATTACAGCTATTTATCCCCTTCCATCCGCTCTTCCTCTTTCTCACTAGCGGCTGAGGCTCTGATGCTTTTTTCTAACCTGCCATTTAGCTGAAAAATAAGACAAAAGAGGAGATAGTTTCTCGGATAAAAAAGACACTTTTGTGGAAACGTTAACTCCTCAAGCTTCAGGTTTGTCTCTAGGGTTTCTGCCTAATTCTAAACTCTTCTGGTGTGCTGGTGTCAAATTAAAGTCGACACATAAAAAAAACATGATTCAATGTGATGTTTTAAGCTTTTCTTTCATTGTTTCTTGTTTTTCACCTGCATTTTGTGGTCTTAGAAACCTGCCCCCCCCCCCCCCCCCCCCCCCCCTCTGGGGTACCTGCACTGGCGGAGCTTTTGGGTTTGCGGCTCGAGTCCTCGAACGGGTAGCTGCTGCGCACGATGCCGCGGGGCCTGAAGGAGGAGCTGACCTCCACGTCCAGCTGAGGGAGGCAGTCCTTACTCCCCTTTGCGCTTTCCGTCTCTGACACTAAACACACAGGGGACATTTTTACAAACGCAGAACTTGAGAGTGGACAGATGAGGAGGGGGAGGGGCTGCTCAGACAGAATACTGACAGGAGCTGCAGTCGCTCTCCTTCCTGTCGTCTCTGTCGGGGGCGGAGTCTTGGACACTGGGGTCTCCTCTGCGCACCTCTTCTTTGGACAAGGAGTTATAACCCAGATCTGACTGGTCACCTGGAAAAACACGACACAACATGAGTGACACGTCCAACAGGAACTGAGGTCTGTGACAGGCAAACAAAACTCAAAATGACTCCCACTCAAGCTGCGGTGCTTTGAGTTTTTCGACTAAACGCAGCGGCTGGGAGTCAAATCTGAGAATTGGTGGTTCCTTCGCAGGGTGTTGGAGGGAAAAACATCACTACAGCGTTTGTTTTCCTTCGTCTCCACAGCTCTGTGGGGCAGAACCACCTCAGGGCATGCAGAGATCTTCAGTTACTGCAGGAACACAACGGCTAATGAATTCCACTTGAGGCTGACTTTCCCATCTGTCTCTACAACTTGATGATTTGTTGTCCTCGTTTGTCCTTTTCTGAAACCTCTGGTGCTCTCTTCTGAGGATAAACCACAAGGCTGTGCAGCTAGTCCTTATAACAGGACAGAGCGCCTTGCAAAAGATGGAAAGTGACAAAAATCACGGGAAAACTACGACAATCAATGAACCTCTTGTCAGATCGCTGCCTCTCGCTGTGCTCTGAGCTCCCGCTGGTTTTACTGCACACAAAGCAGAGCCGACTGTAGGTACTGACTCCCTGATCAAAATTATGTCCATAATCAAAAAGAATGGGTCTCTGGGCAATTACTCTCCGTAATTAATGATGACAAAACACTGAGATGAGGGAGAAAAAGAGCCGAGGGTGTGAGATGGATGGAGGACGGCCACGGGACAGATCACAGAAACAGAGAAACAGAGCCCATTCAAGAATAAAGAAGTCAGGAAATAAAAATGATGAGAGGCACAAATGAGGCCATAGAGAGACAGGCAGGCTGATTAGGAGTTTTACCTGGGTGGAGAGTGGCTTCTCTGAGCTCAGAGCCCCCCCAGTGTGAGTGGGCCGCCACGGGTCTGGCGCCCACGCCGCCGCCCCGACGGCTGACTGCATGCAAGGGCAACACAGGCAGGGCCAGAGTGAGGGGCCGGGTTAGGGACAGAGCAGAGCAGAAACCACAGCCGCAAAAAGGAGAGGTGATGGGGGGGGGGGAAATGGGAAAAACAGGCAGCAGAGGGCGGAGGGGAGAAGGGAAGTGGCCGGTTTGGCGAGTGGAACAAGTAAGGAAAGAGGACAAAAAGGTTCATGAGAAAAAGGAAAAGATGTGAAACAAGATGGCCGCCTGAGTAAGATGGAGCGACGCGGCGCGCGTCTGAAGTGTACCTGTGCTAGATCTATCGTCAGCCGGCTGCTGCTCGGACTGGTTAGTGTCGGCTGAGCTATCCAGGCTGCCGTGACTCACAGCGTCCAGGTCGCTGCCATCTGCCCAAAAACAACAAGGAGTTACAAAAGTCTGCTCTGCCAGCACCAGGAGGGACCGGGAGTCATCCCACTCTTCTGTTTTTAATACGCTGATTTACCAATGTTTTTTGTCTTTCCTCCATATTTGACTGCTGAGCAACCAGAGTAATAATTTTTTCTCTCATTACTCGTTTTCAGTTCTGACATTATGAGCGATCACATTCAGATAAATCCATCTGTCGGTTAATTAAACCCACCTAATCCTGTCCAGAGTCTGGGGGTGGCGCTGAAACCTACCCCCCACCTCGGTGAGGCCCCTGAGGAGCCGCGCTGATGACTTTTCAAGGTGATTTAGAGGAAGTTGCAGAAAACAAAATGCAAATCCCAGCTGACTCAACACCACCGTCCACCATGAACCAGATCCAGGAGGACTTTACAACCTTAGTTCAAAAGCTGCCTGCAGGTTTGTTTCTGTGAGAGGAACTTAAAACATACAAAGGTCAGCCTGTAAAATCACATGTCGTTCGGGTTAAAAGGAAGACCGAAACAACTGGCTCCTAATTAGTAGTTCGTGTAGCAACACAGCAGCTCGGAGAGAAAACCCTACAGCTGTCTAAAGAGGGGACTGTCGACGTGTATTTTAAACTAACTTTAGCGTTTCAAACTGGATCGGCGCCGAACTCTGGTGAGGAACACAAAGTGCTGATGGTGAGAGGGAGTATCTTAAAAAAGCAGGGATTAGCAGGCCGGGGATTAGCATGCAGCGCGTGTGCAGGGAAGTTATATCACACATGAAGACACAGTTTCAGAGTTTAATGTTCCTAAGAAATCAAATGACATCTTCAATGGAACCTAATAATTCTCTGGGCCAGATCTAACAAACGCCGGCCATTTTTAGTTTCGAATCGTTTCAAAACATGTCAACAAATGGTTTTGAGCACCATTGAATGCTCCAAGTCCTGTAAGGCTGATGCAGTGTGTGTGTGAGGGGACGGGGGATTATAATTTGCTATCAGCTCCTTTATACCAGCAGAGTCTGAGGGGCGGGGGGCGGTTGGAAACCCCTGACAATCGCCACACTGGTGGAAACAAGCCCCGCCCTCTGGAGGCACGGGTCCAGCTCGATCACAGGGAACACTGAATCCATTCGGTCCCCGGGCGTCTGTTCCTGCCTCCTGGTGCTAAAACCTAAGCACTTATTCTCCAGACTTGTTCTCCCAGTGTGGGCGGCACACAGAGCAACGGCGGACAGCGACAAACGGCCACTGGTCGCCGTGGTTACAGAGACACCCGGTGAGGTATCGCAAGGACTCAAAAGCTCACTGAAACATCTTCTCTTCGGTTCACTGGATAGTCGGCCAACTGAGGCCACCCAGAGTTCGGCTGAGCTTTCACACCAGCCCAAACGGAACCGGTTTCAGAAAAAAACAAATCATCCACTTAGCTTACACAAGGATTCATCATCACTAAGAAAAAAGGACATGAAACAGGACATGAAAAATAAGTACAAAAATCGGAATAAATTTTCATTTTTCTGATGTGACCCTTTTTTTTTTGTAACAGGATACAACCAGTCTGTCCAAACACAATGAACTTCTCGAAATTAAAAGAGAAAACGCTTTCAATACCAACAGAAAATAAATGACCAAAAATCTTGTGACTAAACTGGATGTTTAGTGTGTTTCAGCAGCTCTCTCAATCAGTTATCGGTTGATCCTGCTACACAGAGCTCTGGGTTCTTGTTATTAGAGGACGTGAACACCAGCATGGTGTTATAACACGAGGAGAACCACTGAGCTGAGACCTGCTGGGCGTTACCTGACAGAGGGCTCTGGGTGAGGGGGGCGTGGCGTCGCAGAGCCCGTTTGAACTGCGCCACCCCCAGGATCACGTTCCTCAGCTTCATCCACAGGAAGTAGCCTCCCCTGGTGCTGGAGGGCCACGTGCTCTCCAACACAGCCTGGAGGGGGGAGGGGGGAGACCACATCTGTGAGACAGGCTGGGAACCAGGCTTCAATTGGCTCACATTTCTAACTGTGTTTAAACCGAAGCTGCAGTTTCTTCCATTAAATCCTTTTATTTGAGTGAACTGAAAATGAGCCAAACGCTGCTTCGTGGAAAATATTCTTGAAAGAATTTGTAGCCGAGGTTGCTTTAGATCAGGGGTGCTCTGCAGGTTGTAGACGCCTTCCTGCTCCAACACACCTGATTCTGATGCAATGGATCAGTTCCAAAGCTCTGCACAAGCCCGATATCAGAATGCTGACGGAGTCAGGTGAGTTGGAGCAGGAAACCTCTAAAAACCCGGCTTTGTCTACTGACTGTATAATATAAGGATTTAAAAACTACATTTGCTTCAGAGTGAAATCAGCCAAATCCTGGTTTCAATGTCCTCTTACTGAAAGCCAAGCAAAGGGAAACTGTTACAGAGCTCGGCTCTGCACATGGGAGTGAAAAATCCTCCTATTAACACCCCTGGAACTCACTGATTAACACGTCAGAGCTATTTACCCTGCTGCTTACAGCCTCAAATTCAGATATGAAAGCACATAATGCTCACTAATCAGCACTCCTGTACCCCCCCGGCGACAGTGAGACTTAAAGATGTGATGCTGCTCGGGCAGAAAATAAGTCAGCAAATATCCTCTGTGGGACCCAAAAAGGGCCATTTGCATGTCGGTGCTCGAGCGGATTAAACTAGCAACATGATGCATTTTTACAGTTTCAGTTAAAACAATTAGTCGCTCTTGATTTGTATTTATCCAACAGATATGAAAAGTCTTTTTGTCTTATTACAAATGTATAACTGATTACAAGCCAGTACATATCAATATTTCCTGGTCTGAGATTTAAGCTTCTTTCTTATTCACAAAGACGGATAATAAATGAGTAAAAGGCCACTGATGAGGCTGGTTTATCTGCTGTTTACCATCAGTATACCGAGCATACATGTTCAAGAGGTTCACACAGTTATTCTGTGATGTTAAACCGTTTTTTTTGTGTGTTTTTAATGAAAAAATGCACACAACCGTATGTATTATCCAACAGCATCCGAATAAACAGCCATACACCCACACATGGAGACCCTTGCTGGCATTTTTAAACCTAATCTCAGTTCCCCCATCTGCTCTACGGCTTGTTTTGCAGAGGTATGCTTCCATCTCTTTTTCAGTAACAGCCCTGATTGAAGGTCAACGGAAAAGCGCCGCCTCACGCCAGCGAAATGAAACTGGGATTGGGTCTTATCGAAGACACGAAGGGGCACTAGAGGCCCAAAAAACAGCTTCAGGCGTCCCAGCCTCCCCGGTCCGGGATGAAATACGATCCTGCCAGGTCTCGCAGCACACCCCAGTAACCTTTGTTGTGGCCCTGTCTCCTGACAAACTGCTCCCCCGTCAGCTAATTTACTGTCAGGCCGGATCGGGGAGGCGCTGCAGCGCCGGCAGAGGCGTGATTCATCCTGGCATCTGGGAGCGATCGCGCACCCCGTCGCACAGCCTTGGAGGTAAACTGGAAATGTCACCAATGTTTCTTTTCATCTAAAGTCTGAGAGTCTGCAGAGGCGTCTGAGATGCCTCACAGCGGCGCCTCTGAGAAGCTATCGAGGGCACTGGTGGAATCCTTTGGATGCAATTATTTATGCCGCTGCTGTAAATCATGAATAAGCAATTGGCAGCGCGGCTTCTGTGTGTCTGTTTATCATACAGGCCTCGCAGCGCTTTCATCCAAAACAAGCTCACAAGCCATTCAAAGTTATCTTTAGAGACCAACCGGTACAATCACAAGGTGAAAGCTCATGAAAAATGAGCTGGCTGTGAGACTGCAGCCAGCTGAGCTGCTGTGTGTCGTGATGATGTCACACATCGGTGGGAAATCCACATCAGGAAGTCTGTTTTTGTTCCTGTTTATCACGGCTGATTTCCAGGAATGAGTGACAGACGTTTGGCTCTGATGGACACTAGGGAATTCCCGATCCAGCTTTTTGAGACCGATCCCGACCTATCAGAGCATGTATTAAAGTTTCAAGTTATTTATCTTCTTACTTAGTTGTCAGATTCATGTTGAACAGGGATTTACTCTGATAACAACTTAATGGTCAGGACACAGACCTTTGGGTTACAGATGCTAATGCTAATGCTAATGCTCGTGAGGGATCGGACTTTTAAAAAATCTGGATCTGGAGTCTGGATCAGCAATTTCTCCTGCCGGCCGATACGCAGTTTTTTGCGAATATCGGTGGCCGATCCGATCCAGATATCACATCGGGACCAGCCTAACAGACACAGCTCAGGGATTTTACCTTGTTGTAGTAGCCGTAGGTGATGGCGTTGGGGTGAACTCCGGCCTTCTTCATCTCAAAGAGGACCCTGACGGCCAGCACGGGCTGACCGTACTGCCCACACAGCTGCATCAGCACGCGGTAGCACACCTGGAGACGCAGAGGAGGGGAACAGGGAGGCCGAGTCCCATCAGAGGTGATGAGCCTTAGAAATGCCAGTGGCTGGCTGAATGAGTGGTCAGCGGGTCTGTGTACCTCATCGGGGGGCTGTAACTTCTTCATCTGCATCTTCCTGAGGACATCGTAGGCGGTGCGAAGGGCTCGAACCTTGGAGTGACACACTTTGACATAGGCGGGCAGACAGATGAACCACAGGCCGTAGCAGTGACGCAGCAGGCACTTGGACCACAGCTGAGGGATGGACGAGTACTTCTTAGCTATCTTCTGGGCTGATTTAATCTCCTGGAAATCAAACATAGAAGAAGCTGTTCAAATGTGCAATCCAGGTTTGAGGATATTGGGGAGATAACTGGAGATTAGATAAACTGCACACTCAAGCTGAGTTGTGTTGATTTTTTTTAGAAACTCTGCATGTCTGCAAAACTTTCGGCTGTAAAATTAGAAAAGAAAAACTCTTCCAGAGTCACGTAACGTCACCATCTTTTGATTTCTAAATTCAGACTTTCTCATTAACTTTCAAAGTCATCTTCAGAAACTGTTCTTCAGGCATTGTGGAGGTAAAAAGAATGTGATGATCCAATGATAAGAAATTAACATCCTCTCTCCAGCAGATGAATAAGATCTGAAAGAAAGAGGATCAGATCCAGCAGAGAGCTGGACAGGAGCTGAGAGCTGCATCTGGACCTCCAGCTGATCAGCTCCTGGTGGCCTCAGCAGAAATGCTCTCCATGAAGGGTGGCTGTCCAGAAGCCATGAAGGAAGGAAACAGGAGGAAAGGCTGAGCTCTGCCAGAGGAACCAGAGCTGAACACCAGGTCTGATGGAGGGATGATCCTCACTCTGAGTTTTAAACCAAAAATGCAAAAATGAGGCTAAACGAAAAAGCTAAAATACAGCTAATAAGAACAGAAAAAAGAAAAAGAAAAAGCTCAAACTGACCAAAAATACAATAAAAAAGCCAAAACAACACTAAAGATGACCAAAAATACAATAAAAAAGCCAAAACAACACTAAAGATGACCAACAATACAATAAAAAAGCAAAAACAAAGCAAAAAATGAACAAAATTACAACCAAAAAGATAAAATAGAGCTTAAATGATCAAAATAGAGCAAAGACAGAGCTAAAATTATCAAAATAAAGGTATCCTGTCAGTTGTCTCCAAGCAGCTGAACCTCCCAGAATCCCACAGTGGGTCAGAAACTGGATGAAAGCAGGAACCAGAAGTGGAGCAGCTCTGGTGGAGGGATGGATCCTCCAGAGCCGGAGCTCCACATTATGAAGAAGAGTGGGATCATCTGACAGAGAACGGAGCCAAAGGCAGCTAAACATCCAGAGAAGAGCTCTGGGACGTCCTTCAGGAAGCTGGAGAGCTTTTCCTGGAGGCTCCTCACAGAGAGGAGCTGCTCCTGGAGGGTCTCCAGCTGCTCGGAGAGGCTTCAGGCCCAGCCGGAGAAGACGTTTTCACTTATTTAAACCCAGAGCTGCAATCGTTGTGCTGTTTTCCCTAAACATCTGCACAGAGCTGTGAACATCTGGCGGAATGTGGGTCCGGTTGTGCTGACCTGTTTGGTGCGCCTGAACATGGGGGCGGGGCTTGTCGGGCAGCTCTGCCTGGCAGCGAGCCGGGAAGAGGGCGTCCGCAGACCCTCAATGGGGTCGAACAAGTCCAGACTCAACACGGGGAAGCCATCATACCTGAGGAAGAAATCAGCCTTGTATTAGTCATAGGGTTCGTTTAGAGTTAGATTTCCTATTAATATATTCATTCATGTGGTCACACACTATTTGGAAATAGGAGCAACCTAATGATACCTCACTCATGGATAACAAGAACAGATTAAAGACAAGTTAAACATCTTGTTTTTATGACTGATGTGAAAGTTGGTTGAAATGTTCAGTGGATTCTTTCAAAGCCACATTTAACACCCACTAAACATTTGCTTTTGTCACTTTGTGTATAAGTAAACAAAGTGGGCTGTAATTACATCAGGCCACCGCTCAGATGAGTACTTCAAAATAATCATGTACAAAATGAGAGGGTGAAATAAAACACATAAAAACAATAATCAGTTTGTATTAAAGCAGCTTAACTCAAACTCTTCGGTATAATGCTTTAATTTATATTAGGAAAAGAGAAAGAAATGGGGGGGTCAGTTCTAGGAGGGATGAATTAACCAATTTTAACCCTATTTTTGGATAGAATTCACAATTAAACAGTTTTTATTTAGATTTTTAATCGGTCTGTCTTTTTTAGCCCCTGATTTGTTTGACGCTTGTTTTAATTGTGCTTTCTGGCTTGGTACTTGATTTTCCTTGTTACTGCCAACAAGGAGGACACTTTGGATGCTTTTGGGTAACATTAGTCCATCCAGCCTGTTGGCTTAACTGAGAACATCACACACTCCACAGGACATCTTTCCCCTTAAAATATCTAACTTAATTTCAATTTCTATTCTGTAGTTTAAGTCATTATTCCTGCTGAGTAATTCAATGTTTGATTTATGTGTGTCAAGCCATTTTCTGCTGGGAAAACTTGCATAAAACAGAGTGAGGGATTTCAAAGAGATAGACATCTTGAGAGGCGTAAACAGAAAAACTGAAACAGCCGAGCTTCTTTAAGTGAAACGACCCTTTCACCTGTAGCACAGGGGGTGTTCCTCCCCCTCGGGCAGAGGCGGCAGCTCTGGAGGTGTGATGAACACTGTGTGCTCACTGCGCTGGGACTCATCAATCTCTATCAGCCTGGTCTCCTCCGCCCTGTCGGCGTCCACCTGCCCAACAGGGAGCACAAACACCGGTTGGGGCTCCATAAACGATGACAGTGTTAGCATGGGTGGGTTAGCTTGGAAATGAAGCAATGCCCATACTGAAGTACAGAGAGAGGACAGCGTTGGTAGCAGGCTCTGGGAAGAGAGGGCGTCTAGGAGGGATGTTGGAGGATGACGGCATGTGACCTACATTCCCTGACTGAACATTTCTCTCTGAAGCCTCCTCTTTCTGCTGTTAACCGACTCGTCTGACACACAAAGCATGAAGACACTCGGGTAAAAAAAAAGCGTGGGCACACAGCCACTGCAGCGTTAGGCTGGATGATAGAGCCCTGAAGACCAGCGCAGCCACTAAACTGACAGGAGATCCTCTGTTAAAGGTTCTGAGGGTCACCTTAGCCAAAATATCTGAGGCAAATATTATCGCTACCGCTACAGCAGCTGGAGAATTATGGCTTTTGAAGTTATCCAAGAGTCATCAAACTCCTTATAATGCAATTTGTTTTCCTTTATTTGGTTTTCTATTTGCTAATCTATTTGCTAATCTTAAAAAAAAAAAAGCTGCAATCACAGAAGATCACAACAATTTCTCATAACTGGGGGGTTTGATCACATTCTGTGTCAGCAGCTCAAATGAAAGCACACTTAACAGGATGCATGTTCGAAAACTGACATTTAGATATCATAATTTAAGAATACTTTGATTCTGCAGGTTCCCTTCTGCAGACTTAAAGATACTCTGAGATACAGAGATTAATACATGCTCCTTAAAAGGCGAGGAGTGTCTGTACACATACTCCACCAATCCGATTTCCTAAAAAAACAAGCTCACAGAGTTCAGATGTCTCTTCAAGAGTTGGCAAAAGTCCCTGATATCCAGAAAAGACTGGTCTCTGTGACGACTACATCAACAATAAGGACCACTAACCGGGGTTTGTGTCTGAAGTTGCTCTTTTATGAAGGTGCGAGACAGAAATTAATTCAAACTGGGAGAATATTCATTCAGGCATAGAGGATAAATGGACGGGCAACCATCCAGTCAGAGTGCCGACTATAAAAGCAAACGTCCAGCTGGAGGGAGCAGAGTTAGAGTCTGCACCCAGTTCATTCTGCTGCGTAAATTTCACACCTAGTGCATGAAACACTAACCTCTGAATTATCTGGAGAAATAATGGCAACATTTTTGTCAACCTACCAGGTTGAACCGTGGCATTTCTAACAAATTAGAAGGTCAGTGTACCACATCATTACATCAGGCTGGCTGTGAGCATCAATCTGCAGGACTGCAGCCAGCGCTCTGAGGGCTTTTATGTGGATTAAGCCTCCAGCAGTCAATCAGCCTGTCTTTGATACATGGCAGATACAAGCTTCCAATCACCTCTGCAGGAGCCTTAAATCTCTGTAAAAGGGACTTCTCCCGCAGAGAGTCTGTACACTGAATGATGCAGCCCCCGGTGGGAAAAGTCCTGCGATTTTTATCAAAAAGCCGCCAAATATAAACAACTGGCCTCATCGATTATTTCAATGAGCGACTTTCAGATTGACTGGATGCATTTTACGGAGTCAGAGCAGGAGGAGGTCGGAGCTTTTCAGAGGATCTAAAAAAACAGCAGTCACAGAGGCAGGCATGATAAATTGATAAGTGCTTCGTGGCAGGTTTAGTGCTACAGTCACTGATTTATTCATGTCAGACAGAAGAGACGGTTCATAATTCAGTCTATTTAGTGGAACGGTAATTAAAGCTTAACAATGAAATCAGTGAAGGCAGTGCATTGTGGGAGTTTCTGCACAAAGGCCGGACTGAAGGTAAAACGCCTAGAATCTGAAATCGCTCTCAGACTGGGTAGAAGTGGAGTTTCTACTCACACTATCCCTGTACTGACATAATTTTTCACTTCAGGCTGAAGTGCTCTGGGACTTTAGTGGATATGTGTGTGCGCTCTTTTGTGTTCTGGGGCTTCCCCTCCTCAACAAGGACTGAAAAAAGACTCATAATGAGCAAGAATGAAAAGAAAAGGCACCTGTGAAGAGCCTGTTTGTGGAACTGACGAGCTCAGATTGTTACGACGTGTACCTGACAACATTATGAAAAGGGCAGTTTCTGCCTCTCTACATTTCACCAATTCCATGTTAATTGTGTCCTCCAAGACGTTAAAGGAGCAACAAAAGAGAATAGGGGAACTACAGACCACATTGTTGAGGAAGAAGGAATGTTTTTTAGTGGACTTATAGAATCTGTTAGTTTGGAGGGAGGAAGATGGAACTTGACAGAGGGCTTTTTTTAAGGAAAAAGAGCCAAAAATCATGAACTAACTGAGAGAAACCAAAAGGAAACACAAAAATAAACCGTGAGGGGAATACAGACGAGGATCAGACCGAGACAGAAGAAAGCTAATGAGCAAGTGGCTGCAGCTGAGGCTGAATCAGCTGCAGACGAGTGTAAAAATGAAGCTGAAAACCAAAACAGAGGAGCTGAGGATAACCAGGACTAATGAACAAGAATCTAAAAAACACGATACAAGGTAATGTATGAGCTTTATACCAGAACAGGGAGCAAACAGGGAGCTCGAGGCCTAAGAACACAAAGAGCTGAGACATGAACCAGACAGAAGGCCTGAAACTCAAAGACTAACGAAGAACAACAAGGTAAACAAACAGGATACATACAAATTCAAAACACAAAGGATTAAAGCAAAAAAAGAAGAGAAATCTCCAAAATTCCTCAAATCCTCCAGATTCATCAATGTAAGCTTCTCTATTTCCTGTATGTATTGTATTGATTTTTCTAATAATGTGATCCACTTTAAGACTCTGACAGACGGAGAGACAAAACAGCACGATTTCCACAACACTGAGAGCAGATGGGGGAATAACACGGTTTTAGCTGAATTAAATGTCCAAATCCATCTTCTGCCTGGTATATTCAGCCAAAACTTTCAAGTCTTTACGCAAGAAAGGACTTGCGTAAGTGCTGGTGGACACTTGTTTCCATAGAGATGGGATGGCAATAACGTTCTTTTAACCAATAGGCAAAATAATTTATTGTATTCATTATCTAAATCAACTATTTTTCAATGTGCTTGTATGTTTAACCAATGAAAATCATTATTTATCATTAACCAGGAAACAGATCCAACTGTTTATTCACCCGCCTAACAACATCTGTGCTCACATTTGGCCTTTAGTTGTTTGTACTTTCCTAGATTTCAATAATTAATCAGTCTAATGTGTGCTTTCATAGAGGCTTGGACTACTCACTGAGGTAATTTTGTAACAACGAAAACCCTTTTCCCTCTGGGGTCGATACATTTGAACCTCTGTCTGTGCTGGATTGCAGTGTGTGTGGGCAGTGTGCTTTCTCCTAAAGCGAACAGATAGTGTAATGCAGCCAGAGCACACAAAGACAGCCTGACAGGTTTAATCACACGTAACACTGACACACAAAGCGCACGGGGAGGAGGGCCCGAGTCCCAAAGCGGGGCAGGGAACGCGGGAAAGGGGAGGATGTGGATGCTAGCATCCAGATTCCCCTGCACTACATCTCAATTACAGCCCGAAAATAAGAAAAGGTTCCCATAAAGGTAACCGAAGCGCGGCTAAGGCTATTTCAGAGTTGGCTGAAAATGTCACCTGCACAGAGCTGCAACCCACAGACTGCTGAGACTCATCAATTCTAACCCTCAACACACTAAAATGATCTCACAGAGGAGTGAAATCTGAGCTGGTCGAAATGCAGATGGTGGACCTTCTCCAATGTTTCAGAAAGACATGAGCCGAGGGGATTTTCTCTTTAAATCCTGGGTTTTTTAGCTCTGTTGGTGTTTCAGGAACCACTGAAGTGCTAAAAACAATGAATCACTACGCTTATGAAAAACACAGGGCAGGAATGGGAGTTGAGACTTTTCTATGAAATGATGCTTTGAGTTTGTCAGCAGGATCTGAAGCAGGCAGGCAGCGGACATTGAGATGGACATTGAGATGACCCCCCCCCGGTGCAGGGGTCTCTAAAGCTACGCAGACGAGTGCTGCTCGCCTGGAGACGAAGAGCAGCCAGAGCAGGCAGTGGCGATCACTCACCTTTCCTCCTTTGTCTGCGCTCCGCTCTGAATTGTAAAGCTGCTCTCCAGAGGAGGCAGGAGGGAAAACAGAGAGAAACTCAAGAGATTGGAAGCAGACAGCAGCAGAATGCATGTTAGGCTACCACAACGAGTGGGACAGGGGGGAGGAGGGGGGACACGGGACAGGAAACGCTGTGGAACTGGGAGCTCACTTTGTCCACGCAGTCGTCGAAGAAGGCCAGGCTGGCGTCTTTGTCGCTGACAAACGAGCACTCCTCGATGAAGCGGATGAACATCTGCGTCTTCGTCATGAGAGAGTAGAACTTCTGGTGGGAGCGGTCGCGGCTCTTCAGAAACCCTGAGAGGGGCAGAGAAAAGTTTCACCTGATAAATCGCCGGCAATCTGGACTTCCTCCGGAGGTGCCCGTTTTCCACAAAAGGCCATAAAAAAAACCTCGTCTAAGTTCCACTTATCTGGGCTTGGACAGCGCACGCCTCGGTGTAATTAGCGTAATGGCCCGTTTGGGATGGGCAGCCGCGTTGTGAAAAGCTTGCTTAATAGATGCTGAAAGGAGCTGATCGGAGCAAAGAGCCAAAAACAGAATGGACGGCGGCTGGCTCACAGCTCAGAGCAGGAGGCCAAAGGCTTCCTACAGTTGATAAATATTTAAATCCTGACATAGGCCACTTTTTACCAGGACCATCGGGAGATTATTTGTACTGAAACACATTGAGAGTCTGTGTGTGTGTGTGGGGGGGGGTATTTGATAGGGCTGCTTACTTAGTTTTTAACAGAAGATAAGTGACTGATATCATTATTATTCTCATTAGTATTACAAGTACTGATAATAACAAAACCAATGATAAAAATAATTCTGAGAATAATATTAAAATCCCCCAAAGAGAACAATAAATGTTAGTTTTTAATCCCTTTCCACTTCCTCTGTATGTGATCATCTAAACCTTGGTGTCTCTGTTTGACTGAGCAGATAACCGGATGCCTTTTAAAACGTGTCGTGATGCTTTCCGTAAAAGCCTTCGGACTCACCCTGAGATGTGCTGACCAGCCTATCTGCTCAGCGTTTTAAGCTTTTTTCAAAAAGATCCAGTGGGTGAAACGCAGGTCTTCTCCAATGGCGGAAGTGTAATAGAATATTTATGAATGAGATTTCGCAAGAATGTCTAGAAATGTGTGAAAAAACACTTAAAGGTTCCAGTTTATATCCATGATTGAAGCAGCTCCTCTTCCTCTAACGAGCTCATCGTCACATTATGACAGAAAATGAACTACAGAAAAAAAAGCAGATTGCTGGACATTTTCCAATCTAATAACTGTTTTGAAATAATTTCCATAGATAGATAGATAGATAGATAGATAGATAGATAGATAGATAGATAGATAGATAGATAGATAGATAGATAGATAGATAAATGGTTGATCCACTTCCCCTCGGTTCATTATGTGACACACTGCTGTACTGCAGCCGTTCCTGTCTCACATAACTCACGCCGGACACGACCTTGGTCTCAGTTCTCCTCCCTCAGAGCAGCCATGATGTTACCGCGGCTCCCTTCGGCTAAATCAGAACCAGCTCCCACTGGCTCCGTTCCAGGAGCTGGACCCGGCCTCACGGGCTGCGAGCAGCTGCGTTCCGGACCGGACGGCCGTGCGTTTCAGGAGGTGGTTGACCTCTAGCCCAGCGTCTTCCCACAGTCCAGCCTGCGGGACGCTGTGCGCTAACGCGGCCCCTGCGAGGGCTAATGCATTAAACAGCTCCATCTGTCTGCACACTGACCAGCTGTGCTGCTGAAGCGGCAGCAGACTGTTAGAGTGTACATTAAGAAAGCGATTAGCACTAATCGGCGGATGGAGCTTTACAACTTTATGACTAAATGGCTTCAGAGTTTAGGCACATGACAAAAAAAACATCCGTTTTCTCTCCGAGGTGGATAGTGTTGGCAAAATTTACTCCTTTGAGTGGCGTTTTGACCCAATTTTACTTGGGAGAGTATTTTTATGAGGTATAAACTCTACTTTTAAAGCTTTTTAAAAGCCTTTGTCACATGTCTGAGTTCCACCAATCAGACGGTTTCAGCCAATCACATGACCATAGCATGGAGGCTGAAAATGGAGGCTGAATGTTCAGTTACCATGGTTACTCTGATTTAACCCTGCTGTTTTCACTGGGTCAGTGTGACACGGGTACAAAGTTAAGGAGTCTTAACTTTGGTTTTCTTCCATATAAATGCCTGAAAATGTATATTACATTCTACATTATGTTAATTAGACTTTTCTGAGGCAGAATGAGGAACTGTTTTTTGGAAATGAGCTCTATTATACCACATAATACAAAAATAAGTGTCAAATATAAGTTTATCTTTTGGAAACAAGTTCACTGAAAATGTTAATTTTATCCCTCATCCTTTATAAGCAGAATAAACAGACATATATAATATATATTTTTATATCATATATAATATATAATTATAGATATAACATATACTTTTAGTTCTCCAAATACTTTTGTTTGCTTTGTGTTTTTGTCTATTTGAGGACTTTCATCCCCTGTTTGTTAAATCGATAAATCACCAGTTACTCTGCATTTTTTGCATGAACAGGCATGAATTATTATTTTTATATTGATTTGAAGGTTATCTTAATTACTTTTAAAGTTTTAAACACAGCATGCGGTTTATTACTCATGCTGACCTACATTTACGGCCCCAAACGATTCCTCATCCAGCGGAGGGATTCTTATTCTGAGTTCACTTTCTTTCTTTTAACCCCTACTTTTAAACGTTTCTGCTTGTTTTAATCTATCATTTTATTGTAAATATTTTTGTTATTAAAAGAAAGTGTCAGACACTTTGGAGATCTTATTGTTATTGAATGTGATTCCATTTAAAATAAACCTGATCCAAAGCAGATACATATCCTGAATCCTACTTTGTGAAATCAAAATAAGCAATTGTTTGATCCCGTATGCTGTTTTTGTTCTTTTTGTTGGTGTTTCCTCAATACTGGCAGCTTTGGACAGCCACCAGAGGAAAACTGGCTCATTGCACAGCGGTGGACTTGTTTTTATATTCTGTGTGAGGCGGCTGGGAAAACGAGAGCTGGGTTCATTCATTCAGTCTTTTTTTCTGTTTCCTGAGTGTATTATTTCTGATACCTTGCAAGTCGAAGAGCGAGCTGGCGTCCGTGGCTTTCTCCGAAGGGGCTTGAGTGATCGGTCGAAGGAAGGAGCGATAACCTTTTAAAATAGCCGCCATGAAGCGCAGGAAGGCTTCCTGGATCTCCAGCTCCAGCATGTGGAGACTCTTGCCACAACTCAGCTCATGAGAATCACTCATGCTCAGCTCAAGTAACCCATCGGGCCGATATGGACCTGAGCAGGAAGAAAAAGCATTACTTTGAAGGTGGAATCCTCCCTTCAGAAAATGGCAGCTGATAAAAATGCTGAATCATTTCACTGCAGTCTAAGTACATGAGCTGAAAGGTCTATTTTTGCAAGCAGTTCTACGGTGGAAAATAGGATTAACATCCCATAATTACAATGAATAAACTGTAGTTGATATCCAAACGTCCAGGAGGCTCATGTCTTTCAAATAAAACCTCTGTCATGCATATCACTGGGGAGAGTTTAACTTCACTGAATCAGAAAATTCATTTATTCAATTACTACAGCTGAATAAGCAGCTTATTTTAATGGTCTCTCAGAGAGTCCGCGTCTCCACCAGCTGAGAAAGTCTGGAGCACCACAGCAGGGCCGGTGGGTAATTAGGATATGATGCCACTATGAGATTAGCGCTCACTTTCCCTTTGTTGAATGGAAAAAACAGCAACAAAAAATCATTTAAAAATACTAGATTTAATCTGGTAGTCAAAAATAAACAAATCTGTTTGTAATTATACAGAGTTTGGGGAAAAATGGCAAAGTAACAAGCAGACAGCAGAATCAGAATCAGAATCAGAATCAGAAATACTTTAATAAAGTGAAACGGCTGAACCAAAACCCTTCACAGCCCTGTTCAGAATCTGTACTCACCATCAACCAGCTGCTGGTGGAGGTTGCTCAGCACATTCATTAGGTTTTTACAGGCTTTCTTTGGCAGGATCTTCCACGTGAGAGCTCGCTTATCATCATTACTGGAAAAGCAAAATCACACACTGAGCTCTGGAGAGCCTTGGCGGCCAAAAGCAACACGAGCGCTGGAGCTGGGACCACCCCAACGCTGTCTGGCTGCTCTGGAGGCCAAAAGTGAGCTGAACCATCCCTGACCCTACCTGACACACTGGAAAATTGCATTTTCTAAATATCAAAACAGGCCCGACGCTACAAAGATAACCATTTCCAGCCAATCTTTTGGGAAAGTGAGTCTGTCTCTGAACTTAGAAGACACGACATTGCAGATATGTTGGATGGAAAAAAGATCCACAGAGGGAAAAAATGTTAATGTGCATTCATGTGACTTCCTGCATGCAGTTACATCCTATAGAAGTTACAAACACATGCATGTCTTCAGAAATCTTTCAAGGTTTTAAGGGGCTGTGCTCACTGAAAAATGGTGTTTGTGTCCAGATCCACGCAGCTCACGTCGGGAGGCGGGTCATAAAGGTCAAAGTAGCGCGAGTCCACTCCAACAATGAACGGACAGGGCGCACTCAGCACATCAGCCAAAGCCAGGGGGCACAGGGGGATATAAGGGCACGGCCAGTGGAACGGGAAGATCATCTGAGGAGGAGGAGGAGGAAGATGAGACACTCCAGTGACCCTCACATAAAGCTGTGCTGCTGATTCACTACTGTGAGGGGGAGTTAGTCGGAGCGAGAAGAGCATGGTAAGGTCAGACTTACAGGGGAGATGTCTCCAGATACCGTCAAAGAAATCTATGAACTCAGTTTCATTACAGTGACTCGGTCTCTGGGACTTTAACACTCTCACATCCTCAAATGTCTGAAAACTGAATGGGATCTGATGATGAATACACAAAGCCACTGTTGGGGCTCCATTTAGTTCAGTAATATACTGTTGTTGTTGTTTAGTAGCAGCGTGTAGGCAGAAAGGTGCAAAAATAAAAGAAAACAATGTGCCATTAATCCCCAAAAAAGCTGAAAAAGGAAATGATAGAAGTGTAGTTGGATAACCCTACCCCCCTCCCTCAAAAAAATCACTCCTACAGCCAATTTAGAGTCCTGAATGAACCTGAAACGTTAGAGCATGGTTCTCAACCAGGGAGGAAGCCCTGCCCCTGGGGGAGGAGTTTAGGTTTCTGAGTGATGTTAGCTTGGAGTTAGAGATGGTAATGAGGGCTGCTAATAATGAGGCATTCCTACTGGGAAAAGGCCCCGGAGTAGACCAAGAACCATTCTGAGTATCCCCAAGGTGGTGTGGCTGGGGAGAGGGAGGGATAGATGGATGGATGGATGGGTGGATGGATAAACAGATATATGGATGGATGGATGGATGGATGGATGGATGGATGGATGGATGGATGGATGGATGGATGGATTTCAGCCTGTAACTTACGGACACCAGGGCCTCGGTGACGCTGGTCAGCACCGCCGGCCGTAGCGAGTGGACCAGGATCTTGTGCTCCGTGACGGCAAACACCAGCAGGGTGACGGCGTTCTCTGGTCCGAGGTTCTGCAGCAGCGTGGAGAAACGGCCGCCGCTACAGAGGGAACAAAACACACCATCCAAAGAATAAAAAAAAAAAATCCACCAGGGTAACCAACATCCCTGCTGTCAGAGCCCCTAAATACTCCAACACTGGCCTTTCTACCATATTTTATCATTTAGATCTATTTCCTCATTTTAACAAAAGAAAACACCACTAATTAAAAATATTGAGACTAATGATCCATGCAGTAGGTTGAAGCTAAGAATAACAATACACATTTAGCTTATTTATTAGGTAAGGAGAAGGAAATGTAGCCACTGTGGCTCATTTTGTTCCTTCTCTAGGCTGAATTTTAGAAAAGAAATTCTAAACTTTCTCAACTTGAGTTTTTGGTTATATGTGTCCTATTTCTGCTGCTCCATTATAACTACGGTAATGCTCTTATATAAAGGAGACATTGAAAGCTCGAGGAATGTGCCTCCAGTATGACTCCTGTAGCCAGCATCACATCTCACCTATTTCACCTGGTAAATTAAGGAGATATATATACGAGACTAAAATTAGACTGAAAGAAGAATCATATTTTAGTCTCCTGAGCTTCAGAGGAGAAAACAGAGAGCTGCTGAATTTTCTTCCGGGCGGTTGCTCTTACCTGAGCGGTAAAGGAGAGGACACTGGCTGGCTCAGCATCAGGCTGTCGTGCGGGGAGAGCTGAGGAAAAGCTGGAAAGTGAGATAAAAACCAACCAAGCAAAAAAACGCCTGCACTGAATCATTTAAATGTTCATCCATAATAAAGACCCAAACCACTGTGCCCCCCCCGGGCCAGCCAGGATACATTCTTTCTCTCCACTTTGTGCAAAGTTCTTATTAGAGCTTAACAACCATTCATATTTAGACTCAGATCTTACCTGCACCAAGATGCGAGGCCTCTGGGAGGAAGGGAAGGGAACTTTGTGCATAAAATGAGAGATGTGCCTGTAAAGAATAAGAATTAGGGGAATATGAGGCCAGAAATAGGAGCAGTGGGTGCACCCATTTTGAGTTCTGAGAAGCAGGAAAACATAATCTAATCCAAAGCAACAGTAGATTTACTAATCGTCTCCTTTTTTAAATTTTGTTGGGAGAGAACTGAAACAATGTACAATGCTAAATAAAAACGGATATTCTATATTCAATTTTAAGCAACCTTCTCTTTCTCATTTGTTTCTCAATAATCAAAACACATCTCGAATATTATACCACGTTTTTGTCAGGGTGGAGTGGACCCAAGGTGCCTTAGAGACACAGAATTTAGGAATAAACTCGGGCTTAATTCATAAAAAGAAAACTAAGGACTGAGGAGTGATAGTGGGAGGAGGGGAGACGCAGAGGAAACTGGAGACAACTGAAAAAAGATGGACGGCAGACAGACAAGGATCCGACAAAGAGGGAGGAAAACCACGAAGCTTAAAAACAGAAGAGATCAGCACGGCTGAACAGAGCGAAGCTGATGACCAGATTGGAAACAAGAGACTGTAAAAGCTGTGAGAAGGCTGTGGGGGAAGACCAGAGCCCAGAAACGAGGGACAAGAAATGAACAGAGAACATAGAAACAAGAGAAACAACCAGTAAAAACAAGAAATTCAAATTAAAGCACAAGCAAACTACAGATGATAAAACTTGTGAAGAACTTCTATTTGCTTTCAGATCATGACGGCTGCATAAACAAGAGTGCAAACGGAGACGACTCACTTCTCGATGGGCAGGGCATGAGGGCCTGAGATGGAGTAGCGATAGAGGAATGTGAGGAACTTGCGGAAAGCGTCGAAGAAGGGCCAGTGGGAGAGCAGGCAGACGCATTTGTTGGTGTAGACGGCTCGGGGAGCCGAGCGGCTGCTCGCGCCGGCGTCCGGATCGGGCGCGGCCTCGGGCTGTTCGGGCTCCAGGAGACCCAGCTGGGAGTTCTGCTGGTCGCTCAGGCACTCCTGTGGGAAGGGCTCGTAGAACTGGATGGCAGCTCCATAAACCTGAAGGAGGAGACACGAGCAGCACCACTTCGTTTTTGGTTTAAAGTCTCAGTTTTTCTGCCATTACTGTTGCTGCTCTGACCCAGAACAAAGAGACCCTCCCTTAACGGCCCAATATTGAGGATTTACAACTTTTCTTATGCTCTTAGTGCCATATACACTCTTTTTATATTGTCTGTTGTATTTTATCTTCAATGGCATCTTGCTTTAACTCTGCCTTCGTACTCTACATAAGCTACTGGAACCAGAATTTCCCTGAAGGAGTAAATAAAGGGATAAATAAAGTTGAGTCTAAGTCTGATAAATAAACAATAATTCCAAACTCCCAATAGAGGTGTCCCAGTACCACCAGGTTTCCCCCCTCAGAAGGGCAAGAACTGCATTGATGACACAGTGCACATTTCTGAAATAAAATATTAGAATGATCCTTTTCCTTGCATCATAATTTTATTAATCTCATAATCATTCGTTCATCACGACTGACCACGCGGTTAACTGAAGCTGGAAACAGCTTAGAAACCTATTTGCAGTCTTCAGCCCTTCATGTTTAACCAAACGAGACATCAATAAGCACGAAGTCCCCGTTCCTCCATTATGGTCAGCTGAACCAGTGGCGGGATCCTACCAAACCAGGTCCAACTGCTTCCTGGAAACATGGAACTACTCCCTACTCATGCTCAGATCAAAGCTGGCCACCTTATCTACTGTAGCGCCTGTACGTTTTCCCGGAAAAGCCTGCGGTGACCTCTGCCTTTGTTTGCCGATGGGTGAACCGAGGCCGGCTGTGTGGATCAATGTGTATGATATGAGGAAAGTAGCTCAACTGAGTGAGGCGAGTCGAGTTCTTAATCCACTGAATATTCACACACCATTGGCCTGTTAAAAAAGAAAACAGGTGCATAGCTACACAACACCTGCCGGCTGCTCCTGTCATTTTGAGCTGCTTTGGATTTTAGGCATTTAATTTTTAAGTTACACATAAAGTAGACAAAAAAACAAGAACATTTAAGGGAAAATTTGTGGAAAGATGCAATGAATTTATAGTATTTCTAGACAGCAATGCCCTAAATCCTCTACTATGACGTTACTACTTACTTAGAAGTAAAGGAAAATAAAATAAATTATTGGTTATAATCCATAATTTTACTATTTTTTTTACTATGTATAGAAAACCAGCTGACTATATTTGTGTGAGAACCACTCTGTGAGTCACTTTGGGTAATTTGAACAGCACACATTGCAAACTGTACGGCAACGTTAATATTTTACCCCCAACCTCACTGGCGCCATCACCTCCTGTTCAAAAGCTTTACCCTATCACAGTGGATTTTTCCCTCTCTCAGACTCTTTTCAGCATCCAGCTCCTCAGAGTTTAATTCCTATGTGGTGCGTTCAGGTGCCTCCCGCCCAAAGACGGCTGGGACTGACTCCAGCCCGCTGGATGGATGGATGGTCTCTGGTTTTGCCATTTGTCATTCCTCAGTTTGTCTCCAGTCATCTGCTCCACCTCCTTCCCCCCGTGCTTCCTCCTAAATCTTCAAATGTCTGTGCTCGCTGTATTTGAGCTGTGTGTCACAGCTGTTTACCCTCCCAACAGTTTATACTCTAGAGTTAAGCTTTTTGTCCGTCTCAGCCGCCCCTGTTGTTGTTTTTTTTATAAATTAGTTTGTCTCCTGTCTTCTGCCCACTCCTAATCTGCACCTGGAACCTCAACAAGAGCCACGGCATCATCATGTCACTCGACAGATCCCCTCTAACCAGTTTACGGTTCCAAAGCAAAGCAATCTGAGTTTATACAGAAGGCACCAGAAAACTGTGGCAATTTCCCCTTCCGGTACTTAATATCAGTGGTTGTCTGCACTTATGAGTAGCAAAACAAAAACCTGCTGTTTCCAGAGGAATCGATAAACATCGGCTGAGTTGAATAAATGAAGCTGCAAACCGGTCTGTGCAGCTCGCAGCGTTCACAGACACAACCCAGATTATAAAGCGTTTTACGGCAGGATACTGAGACGAACGCTGAGCTCAGAACACCCAAACCTTGAAATGGCATCTGTTGAATTAAGGGGGACTAAATTCTGCACTACCTCTTTGTTTTTGCTCCAGCACCGTTTTTTGTTTAGTTTTTTTTACATTTAGAGGTTAAAACAGAAGGCTTTTCAGATTGAAAAACACAGTTTTAGGCAGAAATTCAATAGCAATCCTGTGTACATGAAGTCAGAAAGTTTCAGAAATATTCCATTCAGGAAAGTTAAGCTTTTTAACATCTGGGACTGAAGCACCACGTTTTCACTCTTTTTGTTTGTTCCCTGCCCTGAAATAGAAACACTACAAACGGTTTTCACCAGACAATTGCAACAGGCTTGACCCACTTTTCCTGCACTCTGTGGTTTCTTGTGCCCCACCGTGGTTTGTAGGCCTGCAGTGATGCCAGCTGCAGTCTGCTGAGGTCTAACTGTCACAGGTGGCTTCTTATCAGTACTCTGGATCAGGAGGGAAAGGATAGCAGCGCGTGCCCACATCCGGCTCACCTTCTCTCCAGAGGCTCCAGTCAGGACGAAGGTGGAGAAAACAGGGAGCGAGTATTTGGTGTTGGCCGGCCAGCACTCGATGGTGGCCCCCATGGGAAGGCAGAAGAGAGGGACAGACTCCGGGAGGGGGAACGACTCGTAGTCCTCCTCTGGATATCTGCTGAATAAACCTGAAAGAGGAACAGAAAACAACAGCAGAGGGTGAATTTGAGCCAAAGTCTGGAGTGAGATCAGGCTCACGCTTCCCCCTTGTGACCAATCAAACGCTAAAATGGATGCAAAATCAATTCTTCAATGAGCTTAGAGGGGGAAAAAAGTGTAAGTTCTCAAACCCCCTGAGTTGGAGTAAATGAATTAAAAAACACCTGGCTCGGCTAAAGCAATCAACCCCTTTTAATTAAGCCTCACAGTAATTAGCCGCCATCAGCTGACACAAGTAAGAAGCAGCAACTTTATTTCATTAACTTTTTCCAACACTCCTACATTATTTGGCTGTGTTACATCCAGTGTTTCATTGAGAAAAACGACTTCTCTGAATTTAACTATGATGCATGAGGTGAATAACCAACTACAGACTATTAGCCTCACAGAAAAAAGCCAATCATGTTAATTTGTGACAGTTGGATTGATGATTTACTCTGAAAGGTCCAGTGTTTTGATGTTTTCCCCCCTCTGGGATCAAACAGGGGTGCTACAGATGTAATCCGCTCCTGAAAGAAGGGACTTCCAACCAGTTAGAACGACACACGGCAGCTTTGAAGCTGTGTTCAAATTCTGTGTCGCTGTATTTCATTCCAAGATAAAGACAATGCAACAAAAACACACAAACACGCTGGAATATTCGTCCGTGACTGCAACCTGGAAACGCTGCAGATAAACCTCGTTTTTGTGCGCTGACTCATCCGGCGCGTTCGTCACAAACAGATAAGATCGCTCCAGTCGGAGTCTGCCGAGTATCCCAGACGTGAACAGCCAAAATCTGAGCCAGACGGTCCGAGGCCGGACCCAACAAAGCCCGTCGGGTCCTCTAACAATGACACGCCCCACACGTTTTTAGCGAGAGCATTCCCAGCTGATGGGTCGTACAAAAACACCTAAATACAGCCCTTAAATAAAGACTTAGAGGGCTGCGGCGTCCCCTCTGAGGATGCATCGACCCGCCTAGACACGCTTCAACCTGCAGCGTGGATGCAGCTGAATGCCTTCACGCAGGCAGGGAGCTCTGCAGACCTTCTTCCAACAGAGTTTTCTTCCAGAAAAAAAACCACTTTCAGAACACAGAAGCAGGTTGAAAAATAAAAAGTAATGCAATAAATATTCATGACCTCGAGATAAACCAGGAACCGTTTTCAGCACACCTGAACGGTGGCTTTGTTCAAAGGGCAGCAGGCAGCCGAGGAAACTTTTATCTATAATGACGCTTTTTCCCTTCTCTCATCTGTGAAGCCAGTGATTAAAAGTAGAACTTAGAAGGGAAGGAAAGTCAGTGTTTTTCGTTTTCATTGCAAAGGAGATTCTGTAGCCTGTGGAGAAGAACAGCCAGGCTCAACAGTAGTTTCTACCTGCTTACTGAATGCATTATAATATTCCCCCTCCTCAGCAAAGGACCCCTGTTTCACACTGCTGTCCAATATTACACCACAACTATACCTATCTCCTTATACTCATCTTATCTATATGTTATTTTTTCATATATTGCCTTCTACCATTCAAAATCTCATTTTGATGTAAATCTAAAAGTCTGTCTGAAGTCTGAGGAGACTGGGATGAGTTTTTGCCTCTGTGTGCGCTAGGAGCTGCTTACCTGCTTTGTAAGCTATTGTGTTGGTTTTGGCCACTGACTTCTTGTAACACAGGTAGACAGCGGAGCCCCACTGTGGAAACAAAGAGCAAAATAAAGAGGGAAATTGGTGTTTTTGATAGAATTGTACCATGTAACAAGACAGGCAAAAAAAAAGGGAAAGATGTCAAATTTACATAATTGAGTCTATATTTCCAAATAAAAAAAATATTTTGGCCCCAATAGCAGACATTTTCATAAATTTCCTTTGAGAACTCCATCAACAGGGATGGAGCTCCCGGTTTGATCAGGGATAAACCTCCTCCTCACCATGCTGCTGTTCAGGTTCTTGTCCACCTTACAGAAGGTGTGCGGGGGCGCCTCCCCTTTGCTGGGGACGATGATGCATATGTCGGTGACGGCCAGGGCGGCGTGCGGCTGGCTCTCGGGCGCCCGGCGGTAGGTGACGTAGATGCGCTGGGAGGAGTTCCCGCTGATGTTGGCGGGGCGGCCGGAGGGGGTGGTCTGGATCAGGTGGCAGCCCTGCTTCAGACGCTCCTTCCACTCATACAGGACACTGCAGGAGGAGGCAAAACGTCAGAACTCAGATCATCGTCTGCCGCCCAGAGGAACTCAGAGAAAGTGTCAGGCACTCTCTCTGGATCCTAAAAATCAGGTTAAAAAAACTTTGGGTAATACTGGACTCAGACCTGAACTTTAACAGCCACATTAAATCAATAACAATCAGCAGCATTCTACCATCTAAATACAGCCAGAATCAGAGGAATAATGTCTAAACCAGACCTAGAAAGACTGTTCTCTGGGCTCTGGACCACATCAGTCCAGGTCTCAGGTCTGGCTTCCTGTCACTCAGAGAACAGACTCTAAAACAGCTCTGCTTGTGTTCAAGTCTCTTCATAGACAAGCACCGAAACACCTTTCTGACCTGTTAGAACCAGATGAACCAGCTGGACTCTGAGATCCAGGTTCTGCTCTCCTGATGGGGCCCAGAGTCAGAACTAAACCAGGAGAGACTTCATTTCAGTTCTATGCTTCATTTAATGCTTCTAAAATCTGCTCCTAAAAGATGCTAGACTATGTTTAAATCCAGGCAGAAAACGCTTCTGTTTAACTGTGCAGATGGAAACTGAATGTATTTTATCTGCACCCTTCACTTTTCATCTGTCTAATTTTTCTGCTTTTAAATTCTCTGTGAAGCACTATGAAATGTGCTATAAAAATAAACTTGCCTTGCCATGGATACTTGTTACTACTTGTGCATTTATAAAGAACAGTTAACCTTTTGCAGGATGAAATAAAAGTGGACCCACATCTGAATCCAACATTGGGAATTGGATTCATAATTCAGTTCTAAGCTCCGTTATACACCCGTCTGTTCCCTTCATCTTATCTATGGAAGGGTTGCAGAGATAGCAGGCTCCAGAGGGAAACCCTGACATCATTATCCTCAGTGAGACTCCAGCCGCCCCACTGGGGATCCCATGCTGCTCCCAGGGATATGCAATCAGTCCGGCTAGTTCTGGGTCTTCTCCCAGAGACAAAGGAATCACCAAGTCTGAAAAATAACTTCTTTCTGTCTCGTAGGTGCAATAAAGTGGCATTTAGATGAGTGGATGCATGTTATGTGATGCTGTACGTAGTTTATTTTATGAGGGTCAATCACACTATCATGCTGGGGTGAGAGCGGCCATCTTTAAAAGGACAGCTCTCCTTTTTCCTCCGTCCAACACTGTTGTTGTTTTGTCTTGTTCGGCTAGAAACTGTTCAATTTGGCGGGAAAGGAGAGAAACAACAGATTGTACCATGAGCAACTGAATTATGCAGCTAAATGCTCAATTTACTAAATAAGTAAGCCGACCTTTTTATTTTTTTTTCCAAAAAGAATTTGGTGACGAGGAGAAAAGGACTGAGAAATAATTTCAAATACATGATCAAATACATTTGGAGTTCCACAGGGTTCATTTCTGGGGCATCTTTTATTTTAAAAACGTATGCAAATTCGACAAAATGATCCCTAAGTGAAATGTTGTCGTTATTTTTTATGGGGTTTTTGTTTTTTTTGTTGTCACAACTGGGGCTTAGAGCAGGCTTGAACTACTGTACAGACTCTACATGGGATGCCTCCTCAGCCCGTTAAGGGAAATTCTGCCCCAACCATCAAACAGACTGTTTTTTAACTCAACAAAACTGAGATCTGGGTGCTACTATGGACTCAGAGCTGAACTTCCACAGCCTTGTCAACTCGGCTGTCACCAGCACAGCATTTGGAGGATTTAAGGATGTCTTACAGAGAGTTATAGCAGCAGCCCCCTGCATCTATCTTCAGCAGACCATCAATACGTCAGCCCCAGCTGAGTCCAGTCTGGAGCTTTCTCCACGGGCCTCCTGCCCACCATAGTCGGGTTTCAAAGAGCCCAAAACATTTTACTGAGTTTAGATTTAAAAAAAAGCAGCCCTAGGTTGAATTCAAACATGAGAGAAAAGTCATAGTGCTTTACAGTGAAACATGATTTTCACCTTAATGTGCATTTGTTGAAATAGAATTAACAGATTTTTAGGTCAAAAAGCAAAATTGGGATGTTTTTAATTTAATTTCGAATCAGATTACAGTGAAATTAAGTTTCTGGGATCAGTCCTCACAGATAAAGCTCTATTAGGCATGAGGGGACTGTCACATAAAATACACCTACAGCTCACAGTCCTCAGAAGTGCAGAAAAAGGATCATTTTTAGCAGCTCTCCTCCATCATGCACTCATCCCCCATTACGGTTTCAAGTGAGTTCAGCAGACGCTTTGCGGCACCATATTAATCTGAAACAAGGACGTGTTTTAAAGTCATCATCCGGGAGGTTTTCCATTATGTCTTTGTAAATTATTCTAATTATTTTCGCTCTGCTCATTTTCCCCTCTCGCTATCTTCACGGAAGGTTTTCTGTGACGCTGCCTTTGCCCATCAGAGCAGAGCAGCTGGCGTCCTTCCTTTATTGACACGGGCAGCAGTTCAATAGAAATTTCGAACCACCTCCTGTGTTTGCCAAATCAGACCTCAGTTGGGCCCCTCCAAACAAGTCGTTGCATAAGAAGGTCAAAGGTTTGTGCAGCATTTTCAGCCGATTGCCGTTTTTTTTACCGATTCCCCAAAAAAACATGTCATAAAACGTCTCACCATCTTCACATTCCCTGTTCCCACTTATTCTAAGTCACGGCTTGATAATATACTGAGATTTATATAGAAAATATTAAATTCTGAGAAAATAGTCTTTCTTTCATTATAGGCAGAATTTTTATAGAAAGGAGATGTCTGCTCATTGGAATAACTAGTGACATATGTGGAAATATGTTGAAATGTCTCCAGAATCAAGTAAAAATATACTAATTGATGCCATTGGCTTCTCATTACTCCTTCCAGTGTCTGGTACACTCTGAGTTACAGGCCCCTGCAGCTGCTGAGCCTTTGTGAGCAGAGTGGCTGCATCAGTGGCTGATAAGCAGGAAACTCTGAGGAGTGTGAGGCAGGAGCGAGCCTCCTCTGGCTGTCAGCGCCCGCCTGTGCCAGCGGTGTAGAGTTCACACGCTTCTAACGGCGTTGGTGGGGATGACACCAGCGACAGTGGTTCACTGTCACTTTCTGAAGCGGCTGCTGCACAGGAGGACGGGAGATGGGAGCATTTCAGCTTTGCTGGATTTCTTTTGCATGCAGACGGCGACATTTCAGGGATGATCTGCAACCGGATTGTTTGAAGACAAAAGCTTTAAATAATTTAAAAGAATTACGGTAATTTCAAGACGATAGGCCGCTTTAAACAATGATGCGGCTCATGTACTGTGTGTATTTTGCCCGCTAATGAGTTTAATGCTGTCATCTTTCACCCCTGTAAGGCCTTCTTCTGTGGGATTTTCTGAGGTGAAAACACATCTAAACATGTAAGAATACAGTATCCATCCATCCATCCATTATCCACCCATCCATCCATTATCAACACCGCTTATTCCCTCATGGGGTCGGGGGGGACTGGAGCCTATCCCAGTAGCCAATGGGGAGAGGCGGGGTCACCCTGGACGGTCCCCAGTCCATCACAAGGACACAAAGAGACACACAAGGACCAACAACCACACACACTCACACTAAGGGCAGTTTGGAGTCCAACCAACCTAACATGCAGGTTTTTGGACGGTGGGAGGAAGCCGGAGAACCCGGAGAGAACCCACACAGGAGAACATGCAGACTCCACACAGAAAGGTCCTGGTTCCCCCGGGACTCCAACCCAGAACCCTCTGGTCCTGGTTCCCCCAGGACTCCAACCCAGAACCTTCTTGCTGTGAGGCGAGTGCTAACCACTACACCACCGTGCCATCAAAGAATAGAACAATAAAACAGTAAAAAACCTTCAGATACCTTATTTCAGACAGAAAGAAACTGTCGCTCTCCAAGTAAAGCTTGTTTCGGGGTGAACATGGACTTTACATGGTATGTCTTTGTCAGACATGGAGGACACAACAGGACAGCTGACAAGAGGTCGTCTGTAACAGATGGAAGCTGCCTTATTCCCTTAAAAAGGAGCCGGGGACCACCTTAAATCGGTTTTCTCTCTAAAGGCAGACAGGGAGTGACTACACCCCTAAACAGCAAAAGGAAGACGCAAAAATCGGCCTGGTGCTTACCCTAAATCAGTGAGCGGTGGCTTGTCGCGGCCTCGCCTGTAGCACAGGAAGATCTGAGGCGCCATGAGCCCCCCGTTGTTCAGATCCGCCGATTGGCCGGTCGGCGTGGTCTCGATGCAGGTGAACCCCGGAGGCACCTCCTCGCCCATGGAGCGGATCACCAACGCCACGTCGGTGACGGGCGCCCGGGGCTTGGCCGTCTTGTGGCACACATCGTCGAAATGGATCTCCTGGTCCAAAGGCTTGGACGGGTCCGTCAGCCCGGCCACCACAAAGTAATCGGCTACACGAGGGCCTTTGTCCTCCATCATTTCCCATCCCCGCCGACTGCCTTCAGAAGGGAAGAGGGAGACAGATGTGGAGAGAGAGAGACAAGCCGGGCTGATTAATTTTCCCTGAAAACGAGAGGACGGTACATGCGCCGCTGCTGTGGAGGTAATATAGAAATCTGACAGTCATAAATCTTATGAAAAGGAGGTCAGAAGAAGGGTAATGAGAGGGGAGGGTAAATAGTTATGTAGGGGTAAAAGGCAGTAAAAGTTGAGGTGCTTAGAGGACTGATTTCAGATCAGGGACACATCAAGGACACAGGTAGTGTGGTCTGAGAGGGAGGGGCTTGGGGCTTTGGACCTTTCTCTAACTCTGAGGTGTTAAAGCCTGAACTCTCTGCCTCCTTTACGCTCCAGCTCGGGGCTAAAATGAGGCGATCCTGACATCATCATCCAAAGGAACCATTTTCATCACGGCGACCCCTAAAAAGTGAAACTTTACCGAACGACGCCAGCAGAAAGGCTCCACCCACACGACCCCCCCACGCCCTGAGGCTCGCTGGAGCACCTTAAACTACCATCCGGCTCGCCTCCTGACCACTGATTGCTTGCTGTGTCACGGTCGCTGTGTCTATTTCAAGAACACAGAGGAAGCAGACCCACTGAGGTGGAAGTCTGAGACAGAACAACCTGCTCTGAGTGGGAAAATATAGCAGCTGCCACATGTGGTCTTTTTATCAACAAAAACTGATTTTTGGATCACAATCAGCTATTTCCACCCATGTATTTCTACCATAACGGCTTTCAACATTCAGTCTAGCCTCTCTGTGTTCTTTCTTTTGCTTCAGATTTGATCTTTTTTGGGTTTAATGTTTCAGTATACATATATGCCACAAACTCTGAGGTGTACACGAGCCTCTGTGGGTGAGAGGAGCTGCATTCCCAGCAGCGTTTTCCTGGAGACTGATGCAACACTGAAGAACACATCGGGCTCGTGACAGCTGTAATCAGGAGGTGTGGGAAATGCGTCTCTGAGCTTTCCACGTGCAGCTGACCGAGGATGCTTATTTCTTTAAAAGCGGCGTTCCAGTCGGCGATCATTTCTCGTGATTAAACTGAACCTATTTTTTCCCCCTTAATTTAGCTGTGAGGAACACATGCGGGCCCGGCCTGTGATTCCAGGCCAGTGCAGAGAGAGGGTGTGGGAACAGGGGTTTAATTAGCAGGGTGTGTTAGCTACACTTAATGCTCTGGCTCACAGGAGAAGCTGAAAAAGCTGCCAGCTCTTGTCTGTGTGATGCCATGCAAACAAGACTGGAGTCCAAGAGACTGCAGCATTAAGTGCCTTCGTTTTTTCACCTCGCTGTGAGAGGCCGGCCAGGAGAGCCTCTTTCATTTAATCTCTCTTTCTCTCATTACACAAGTTTCTTCCAGTTCCAAACAAACAAATGGTCCCTGATGTGGAATTATAAAAACTAATGCATCAATCAAGCAAATCCCAAGAGCCCTTTCTTGTTATTTAATGACTGATTCTGTGCGAAGTAAGCTGTTTTGGACACATTTTCTAGAGGAGAAGGGTGTTTATTGACACAATAAAATGACCTTTGTGAGGTCAGCGAGCCGAGCTTATACCCAAACAAAGAACGACGTGTGTCTCTCTCCGGACAGATGGTGAGAAAGCGCTGCTTCAGTGTGTTCTGGCTCTTACGCTCAGATTACAGACGCATCTCATCCCACCATCTCAACACTGTGAGAAACCAAAGAGAAGACAGGCACCGGGTGAAAAGACAGAAGGGTCGGGCCTTTCCTCCTGTGGCTTTAAAGCCCTCCTGACATATCCCTTTCTGATAAATACTAATATCTCCCTGTAGGTTTGACTCCCTGGTGTAACTAAGAGTCACCTCACATCTGCATGGGGTCCAAGTCCAAGACCACAGTGAGTGTTGGACTTCCTGCCCAAAACGCACAGGAGGCTAATAAACCTTCCCGGGACACTTGTGTTGGAAAAAAATGGCGTCGGCCGACAGGAATGAGACACATGCTGACTTCTCCTTCAAGAATGTTCACAAGGACACTTGACAAAAAAACACAGAAAAAAAGACACATAAATAAGTCAAAGCCGTGGCTAATTTAAAAAACACACCAGCCATGGGGAGAGTTTGATGTTGGTCGTGTGAGCTGAAGAGCGGGCAGTCTTAGATTTCACAGCCACGATGAAAAGCAGACACCATAACACGCCTGGAAAAAGCCTGGAAACACAACTTAATAACCCAGCTTTTAAGCTAAAGAATGAACTGTAATAGCATTTGAGCTGGAATAAAGACAGCGATGGTCTCTCTTCTTTCTGCTCTTCTTTCTGTCGGGGATTCACCTGGAGGCTCCACAGGAATAAAACACCTGCTTTTTGTTTTATTGGACTCACCATAGAATATAAGCGGAGGGAAGATGGGGACGGTTTCACTTACAGGGATACACAGCGATGGTGACGCCCCCCGTTAGGGCCACATGACGGAGCAAAGAATGACACCACCCCGTCAGTCTGCTAAAAATACAATGCTAGCCACAGCAGAAATATCACAGCACCAGTTACATAAGGATTACATGCGTATGCACTGCCAGTGTGGGACAATCCAGGACACCTACTGAAATCAAACCGGCTCCACTGTTTTCGGCCTGCCCTACATTTCAAAAAGCAGGGGACAGGAGATGTGGAGGAAAGTGCTTCTTTACTGCACAGCTCCTGCATTTATTAGTGATTACAGTGACTAATAACTTTAGATTTACGTACTGCGCAACATAAGGTATGCATCTGAGAAGGTCCACCTTCTTTAAAAGGCTAAGCTCTGGACTCTGATGGACGTTTAGCTCCTCGAGTCGTGCTTTGGGATCCAGAGGAGTTCCTGCTGGACTCTCAGGTCCTGGTGCTGCAGAAGCAGCCCCGATCACCATCCCTCCCCTGCCGTGCTGACAGCTACTCTGAGCTATTTGGTTTCTGTGGATCTGAAACGTCTCCACTTTGCTCTGCACTTTGCTTGGAAGAGGCCAAACTTGAACTTTAACCTGCTTACTGAGGCCTGTAGAGTCTGGCAAGTAGCTCTTGACTTTTTGACCTTTCGGTGACCTTGCCAGGACGTCCTCTCCTGGGCAGACTGACAGCAGTTTTGAATGTGAATAATGTCTCTCCCTGTAGAACGATGGACCCCGGATAGTTTGGAAAAGGCCTCATTACCCTTTATGGCCGGTAAAAGCTGCTTTCCTGAGATCGTTGCTGATGTTTTTTCCTTCTTGCCGTTGTGTTCTGAATGTCATGAATACTCCCGAGCCACAAACTAACAAAAGGCTTTTATAGAGTTAAGATCAAGTAAACAAATGCACATGATGATGCTCATACATATGGAAGCAGTAATGGTGTCATTTCACTGTTTTTTTTTAAAGAAACAGCGTCTTAAACGCAGCATAAATCTTTTTTTAAGAGTAAACCTGGCAGCACAAAAGTGCTGAGAAGCCCTAACAGTGTGAACACCCTTCTACTGTATAACCTCATGGATGTTTTATGTACAGATCATCACCGAATTCCCCAAAGGCGCTGAATCTCGATGATTTAGAGCCGTGACTCACACTGAGCCTGATGCACTCAAAATTAAAAGCTGCATCACAACTTAAGCGGCCTGATCCAAACATTTTCATTTGCTGGCAAACCCTTCGCTTGTCCCCTCTCCAAGTGACCCAAGGGGGAGAGCTGGACTTCATTTCCAGGTAAACGCCCTGAGAAGTCAAACAAAGCGTGTTCTCTGGCATGGAGCCCCTCACTGTGGTACTAATTGTGCTTCTCTGAATTATTTATGATGCTGGTTCAGTTGTAACAAACGCCTTGAGACGAGGCATTTCCCGAGACTTTACAGACTGTTTGTCTTTCTAAAGCAAATCATCTCGCCTTGAAAGAGAACTTGCTGAACTTGGTACCTGAAGCCATGACTTCGCTGAGTGAACAGATTATCTGTTTTTGGTGGTGGGGGCTTTCATAAAAGCGTACAGAGCACTGGGAGCCAGAGTTTAGCACCACGGGCTCAGAAACGTTAAACTGGACCACATGACGGGCCTGGAGCCAGAGCCATAGACAAAGCTTTCGCAGCACAAACTCGCTGACTTCTAATCGCAGTAGGATTTCAGGGAGGAGTACCACAAGACGGGGAGAGCCAGCAGGTCTTTAGTCTACGCGAGCCAAAGAGAGGGGGGAGATGACTTCCAGCTGTTTGGACTTCGCGGGAAGCGGGGCCAATGAAAATCCCCAAAGGGACTCGTGTTCGGGGTTCTTATGGGCCGCCGGCTGCTCTCAGCTCCAGCTGTATAGACATCCTGCTCAAAGGCAGCCACAGCCGGGCAGACGCGTGGAGGAGGTGAGAAGGAATGCGCTCAAGAACATAAACACGAGCCGGTAGGAAGTCAGGCAGCTGACGAGGCCCTTCAGCCTCGTCAGGTCGAGTAGCGACTAAAGGGGAAGGCGACCTCTGCCAGAAACTAGCTCTTCGTCTTTCTCACTGCTTAACATACTCACCAATGTCCTGAGAAACAGCCCAGCTGTTCCAACATGTCCCCAAATACCTGCGACCATCCTGAGAGAAATGCTCCCTGCACCTCAGAAAAGCAAAAATCTAAAGTTTTAGAGGCTCAAACATCAGGAGAAACAGGAGCTCTGAGGAACAGCAAAACAGCGGCATGAACTGTGGCTAAATGTTTGTCCATTTTCATGCAAACGTTCAATTCCAAGCAGCCACACAGCAGAGAAGAACGTTTTTTATAAGGCTGCAGCAAATGCATCTGGCTGTTTTCCTCATACTGACAGTCCTGTTTAGACAGCAGCAACATATCAGAAGGATAAGAAATTGATCTTTCCTCACCGGCATCAAACCCTGATTCTAGATTTTGGGGTTGCTCGGAGCCCTAAAAACAAAAAGCCTCGTTATTTGTGGTCCACAGACACATATTCATGTGTGAGAGGCCACAGCATGAAGAGACAAACTGTGTGAAAGGAGACAAGACTGTGTATTATACCCATGCAGCTC